TTCTAAGCAAAGTCTTGTATTACATTATAATTTATGAATTAAAAAAAAAATTACAATCTTTATATTCTACTTTGCATTTTATTATAATGCTGCATAATAACTTCATCGTAAGCATATATAATCAAATACTTCCTTCTCGTTATATGTCAATAGATAATCATTGAGACAGTGATCACCCATTTTGCTACGCAACCGATACTTATAATCTTCATTGCAAAACAAAACAAAACAAAGTTTTCTCTGCTATAGGAATAGCAACTAGTATAATCAATGTTGGGAGAGAGATATGGGAGCGATTCAAGAAATTTGAAATAACAAGTGAATAGGGTTGGCTAGGTCAATTGGACAGAATATGAGGTGTAGGGGGGGCAAATCACCAAATTATTCTCATCATAAAGGGAATTTAAATTTTTTCAGGGTGGGCAAAGCATGGGTCCGCCCATGTTGATAGCTAAAACTCTCAGCCAACAGATCAATACGAGCTTTGTGAGATAAAACTGATAGAGTAGATACTTTTTACCCGTCCAAAGAAATTTCGAATTAACGAGTTAGAAATTTTTTTCTCAGCTCAATTTATTTTCCTCGTGATATTGTGAGGGAATCTGTTACCTTATAAATGCACATAATCCACAGTCACAAAATGGTTATGTTGTGTTTAATGCAGTTGTGCAGTACTTCACATGCTATGGTAATGCCCTCAGGCAGCCGTAGTTATGAGAAGGGATGGGGAACTAACAGATGTTGGGCTTGGCCGACCCTCTTAATTAGAATTTTATTTTGTTTTTTGCTCTCTGTAAGATATTTATTGTAAATATTTTAATAAATTTTCCTATGATCATACCTTAACTTTATGTGTAATATTTCCCTTACATTCACTCGTTGATGTTGTTTTTAAATATTACTAATATTGATTTTAATTTATGAAAAACAGAAAAATACAAAAAAAAAAAAAAAGATTTTTCACCAAATTTTAAATCAAATTTCTGATTTGAGTTTTTATTTATAATTGATTTTGTGTCATTGTTATTTATAATAAAAATTATGTCTTACTTGCAAACAAAACCCCATCCTTATAAAGATCCCCTTCGCAATTAATTTATTGTACAAAATAAAACCCTCTTTAATTTTTCATTTTTTTGTGATGTAAGGTCGTGATTCAGCTTGGTTTGGCACTATTTTTTTGCTGCTGATTTAATAAACAGTAAGAAAGTTGTCCCAAATAAAATATTCGGCTTTATTTGGGATGACTTTCTCACTATTACTTAAAATAATTTTTTATTACAAAAATTTTAAATCTTCTACTAAAAAGTATATTTTAAAAAGTAGTAATAAAGTCGTCTCAAATAAAGTCTTATCTTTATTGTTGAGTGTTTTATTAAAAAATAATGAAATATTATATTATGTAAATAATAAAATTTAGATGTTAAAATTCAATTAATCCTTAAATTAAATATTACATGCATTAAAAGAGCAAAGTAGACTGAGAACACGAGAGAGAGAGAGAGAGAGAGAGAGAGAGAGAGAGAGAATATCGTTGGAGGAGCTCCCTGCCGATAATATTAATGCATTGGCCTGTGTTTCTGGTTTGGTAGCCGAGCGTTATAAATGCCAACTCACATACCCACCGTCATAAATCCGATCAAGACATTCTCCAAAACTTCCCACAGCTTCTCCATTTTTCTCTCCTCACGATCTCCTCTCTCCCTCTTCTCTTCTTCTTCTTCTTCTTCTTCTTCCTCCTCCTCCTCCTCCTCATGCTAGCTCTTATGTTGAAAGAGCTACTGTGATGTTGGCCCGGTTCACTCAAAAACTTATAGCCGGCCATCCACCGATCGGTCTTATCTCTGTTTTGATTGAGCCGTGCCAATATCTCAGCAGTACTCTTTCATGCCATTCTCGTACGTCTTCATCTTGTCTGTATTTAACGATAAAGGTATTTAATTGTGATTAAACTTTTCTGTACCATTCTGTAGTAGAATCAATATCTCAAGTACATATCTCAGAGCAATTCTATCAGAGAATTTAGAATGAAAGAAACCCAAAGATCAGCTTTTGTTTAAGAAAGATAGGTACTGCAGATCTGTATGGTATGATTTTATCTTATTTTTTGCTTTTTCTACAGCTAATGATAAGA